ATAAAAACCCTAGAAGAAAACCTAGGTAATACCATTCAGGACATAGGCATGGGCAAGGACTTCATGTCTAAAACACCAAAAGCAACGGCAACAAAAGCCAAAATTGACAAATGAGATCTAATTAAACTAAAGAACTTCTGCACAGCAAAAGAAACTACTATCAGAGTGAACAGGCAACCTACAGAATGGGAGACAATTTTTGCAATCTACTCATCTGACGAAGGGCTAATACCCAGAACCTATAAAGAACTCAATCAAATTTACAAGAAAAAAACAAACAACCCCATGAAAAAGTGGGCAAAGGATATGAACAGACACTTGTCAAAAGAAGACATTCATACAGCCAACAGACACATGAAAAAATGCTCATCATCACTGGCCATCAGAGAAATGCCAATCGAAACCACAATGAGATACCATCTCACACCAGTTAGAATGGCAATCATTAAAAAATCAGGAAACAACAGGTGCTGGAGAGGATGTGGAGAAATAGGAACACTTTTACACTGTTGGTGGGACTGTAAACTAGTTCAACCATTGTGGAAAACAGTGTGGCGATTCCTCAAGGATCTAGAACTAGAAGTACCATATGACCCAGCCATCCCATTACTGGGTATATACCCAAAGGATTATAAATCATGCTGCTATAAAGACACATGCACACATATGTTCATTGCGGCACTATACACAATAGCAAAGACTTGGAATCAACCCAAATGTCCATCAGTGACGGACTGGATTAAGAAAATGTGGCACATATACACCATGGAATACTATGCAGCCATAAAAAGGGAGGAGTTTGTGTCTTTTGTAAGGACATGGATGCAGCTGGAAACCATCATTCTCAGGAAATTATTGCAAGAACAGAAAACCAAACACCGCATGTTCTCACTCATAGGTGGGAACTGAACAATGAGATGACTTGCACTCGGGAAGGGGAACATCACACATCGGGGCCTATTGTGGGGAGGGGGGACGGGGGAGGGATTGCATTGGGAGTTATACCTGATGTAAATGACGAGTTGATGGGTGCTGACGAGTTGATGGGTGCAGCACACCAACATGGCACAAGTATACATATGTAACAAACCTGCACGTTATGCACATGTACCCTAGAACTTAAAGTATAATTAAAAAAAAAAAAAAAGAGGTTTAATTGACTCATAGTTTTGCATGGCTGGCGAGGCCTCAGAAAACTTACAATCATGGCAGAAGGAGACGCAAACACATCCTTCTTCATATGGCAGCAGCAGAGAGAATAAGAGCCCAGCAAAGGGGGAAACCCCTAAACCATCAGATCTCATGAGAACTCACTATGATGGGAACAGAATGAGGGAAACCAGCCCCATGATTCAGTTATCTCCACATGGTCCCGCCCTTGACACATGGGTATTATTACAATTTAAGACGAGATTTTGGGTGGGGACACAGCCAAATCGTATCAGTGCTTATTATCCACATGCTATTATTCCTATATTTATGTATCCATAAATAATACTATAGTATTGTTTTGCTCTTTTGTACTTTAAATGGTGTATCATACATACTTTTCTGTACCTTCCCATTTTTGGTGGTTGTTTATACAAGTAACTAGAGTCATTATACAGTTATATTCCATTATGCCAAAGTTTATCCATTATCCCGTGGATGGACTTCTGGTGCTTTCTGTTTTGCTATATAAACAATACTGTGTACATTTTTGTACATCTCCTTTACACAGGAAATAGTTTCTCACATGTTCATGTGCATACAAATCATTTGGTCGGTCTTGTTAAAATGCAGACTGATTCAGTAAGTTTGGGGTGGGACCTGCAAATTGTACTCATATGAAGAAAAATGGGGGAAACATATAAAGTTAATGCTATTGTAGAAAATACAAAAAAAAAAGACAAAGTGGCCTCATAATCTAGTATCTAGTATAGCAGAGTGGTTTAAACATGGCCCCTTTAAGTTCAGTGTTTGAATTACAACTCAACTATTTGCAAGTTGAGTGACTTTGGATAGGTCATTTAATGTCTCCAAATCTTGCTCTTCTCATTTAGAAAATGAGGATTGTTATAATAGCACCTAGATTACATGGTTGTGATGAGGCAATTTGCTAATATACTAGATACAGAATGCTTAGGACATTGTCTGGCACATAGCAAAAACTCACTAAAATTTGAGCTATTGTTGTTAACTTTTAGGCTCCCCCCCCCATGAATATATTATTTCCCTCCAAATGGATCACAATGTACATGCTACTTTTATAGCAAATTCTGGTCCACTGATTGCAGAAAACATTTCAGAGTTATTCTCTATTAAGTCATTTAGAAAGGCTATTTAGTATTCCAGTGTATGTATTTACCACAATTAAATCATTGTTGGTGCTTCAAGTTGAATTATTTTACTCTTATGAATAATACTGTGTAGCTAAATCATTTCATTCCTTTTAGTTTTAATGTCAGCTCACTTTCTCTCCCCTTCTAATCAGCTCTCAGCTGTTACTGTTCTCCCATTCTAATCTGTGATCAGATAATCAAGTGAGTTAAATCAGTTTATTTGCTATACCTTATCTGCAATTCTGTCACTTGCTCTAGGCCTTTGGTAAAAGGGACAGCTATTGCAGCAGCTGTGAAGGGAGGCTGTTTTTGCCTATTTTAGGGTATGCCTCTTAGTCCAGCTCTCCTAGTCTCACTGGATATGAGATTAGGAGATACCACCCAGAAGATGCTGGCACATCCTCTTGCTGTGGGTGCCTTTTCCCTTCTACTCCCTCCCTATTGGGGTCTGAACACTCAACCTACCTTTATGCCCAGCTGCTGCCACTTCATTACTACCTGTTTCTGATTTTTTGAAGCCCCGATGCCCCTTAGCCTAGGTCTGGAAGTTACCAGTTTTCTTGACTTCTGACACCAGTATGCATGCATGGTGCTAGATTCTACTTTGTGGGCCTCTCTGCTTTAGTTTCTCAATTTTTTTAGTAGCCGTAGAACTTATTTGTGCTTTTTAAAAAACTTTGGATCGTTAAATTCCCACATTTTTGTGTATATGGGAGCACAGAAAACAGACTTCAACAATTAAAATTCCCAAATCAGGTATTACTAAGTAGCCCAAATACAGCTGGATAGGCCTGTTTCCCAAACTTGCCTGAAAGATCACAAGGAATACCTGTTGACATACTCCCAAGCCCATCCCAAAGGGCAGCCCCTGTAATCTGGATATATTATCTGGAGATATTATTTAACAAACACCCCAGGTGATTCTTATAATCAGGCACAGTTGGAAACAATGGGCTTTTAACTTGAATTCTCTGAGATCTTCCAGGACACTGGGACGTTCAACTGATACCTCAGGGAGCTTGTATGCAATTTAAAGGTAGTGTAGGGCTCATCCCAGGGGGCAGGAAAGACTCAACCTACCTTTATGCCCAGTATTAGTTCGAATACTGGAAAGTCTTTAGAGCTTGAGACCAAAGAAGGAATTTATGCTCTTTTTGTTTTAATCTTGCTCCTTCTAAAGGAACTTATGCTCTATTTACCATCTCTACACCAGCGTGGTTTCAAATATATATCCCCTGGGTATAGTATAGATTCTGTCCCAAACACTGGGGTTCCAGAACTGTCAAATGAGTCATGCAGCTTCTCAAAAAGCATAATGGAGCCGGGCGGGGTGGCTCACGCCTGTAATCCCAGCACTTTGGGAGGCCGAGGCGGGCGGATCACGAGGTCAGGAGATCAAGACCATCCTGGCTAACACGGTGAAACCCCGTCTCTACAAAAAATACAAAAAAATTAGCCGGGTGTGGTGGCGGGCGCCTGTAGTCCCAGCTACTCGCGAGGCTGAGGCGGGAGAATGGCGTGAACCCGGGAGGCGGAGCTTGCAGTGAGAGGAGATCGTGCCATTGCGCTCCAGCTGGGCGACAGAGCGAGACTGTCTCAACAACAACAACAACAACAAAGCGTAATGGAGAATGCGGGTCTTTTGAGGACTGAATCTTTGCATATGTTAAAATCATTTGGAGTGCATATATTTTATTATGTAAGGTTTTATATTCACTTAGAAAAATCAGCTCAATGCCAGACCCGTGTTAGTAACTGCTTTGGCAGTGCTAGCTATGTAATTTTTGAGGCCTGAGAAAGCACAGAACTCTGATATACCTGCTTCAACTCGTGACAGGCCTTTAGTTTCTTGGATCATCCATACGTAAGATACAAATCTTACTCCCTCAATCTGAGGACACAGGGAGATCCAAACACGCACGATAATTCTTTTTTTTTGGGTTGGGGGGAGAGGGGACGGAGTATGGCTCTGTCACCCAGGCTGGAGTGCAGTGGCGTGATCTCAGCTCACTGCAACCTCTGCCTCCCGGGTTCAAGCCACCCCAGTAGCTGGGATTACAGGTGCCCACCACCATGCCCAGCTTATTTTTTGTATTTTTACTAGAGATAGGGTTTCATCATATTGGCCAGGGTGGTCTCGAACTCTCCTTACCTCAAGTGATCTATCTGCCCGCCTCAGCCTCCCAAAGTGCTGGGATTACCGGTGTGAGCTACCATACCTGGCCATGCCTAAGAAGATCTAGAAACAGAAACTGGTAAATCCTGACCCCACTACACATATTATTTACTCACATGAGATCACAATTTGTTTCTCTTACAACTCATCCATTTGACAGACTAATGTGATGAATAAATAGAATTCTATAAAAGTAAGGCCAAAATAAAAAGCAGCCTAAGATTGTTGAAGAAAACTCAAATGGTGGTCCATGAGACTGCCAAAGTTGAGAGGCAGTCTCAAACTAATGGGGGGGAAATGCCCCTATGGTTCTAAAAATAAAAGCTTGTCACTCTTTACAAACTGTGATTTATCTTTTTGAGAGAATCTTGAACATGAAGTCATGCTATTAATGTTTATTCCAACAGTAGGCTAAATATTTGAGCATATTCCCCCTAATAGTTCCAGAAATTATCTCCTTCCTAAAAAAAAAGTTTAAAACTTTAAATGGTGAGATAGTAAAGTGGTGTGGCATGAGAAAAGTACTTTATTCATGCACAATTTTTCGGTTCCATTCAAAATTACAGTACAAAAAAATTCCCTTGCTTGCTGAGTTTTTTGTTACTTTTTACTTAAATATTTAGACTTAAGAAAAAAATAAAATTTAAAATCACTATTAATGGAAGCTTATATTCCTTATGAATAATACATGTATGCATATATGCACCTCTATATGAATCACTCAAAACAATTTCAAACATCATTCTTTTTTGTATTTAAAATTGCCCTTTTAAATATTTAGAAGTTCCAGAGGTGGAGGCTTTAATGGAATTTTTCCCAGAGTAAATTTCTTGGATTGAAATTGTTCCAGTTCTTCTACTGTTAGTTTATCTCTGGGTGTGAATAACACATTATCTGTTGCAAAGATGCTGCTTGAGGCTGAGAGAGAAGTGGATATGCTGCTATTTCCAAAAGTGTCACTGGATGGCTTAGAAAAAGCAGTGTGAGAATGTGAGCCCGGACTACCAAAACCAGCCACAGAACTGCCACCTCCAAAGGCTGGGGCCACTGGAGCTCTAACAGAACCTGTTGCCAAGGAAGTTGGAAGTCCTGAAAATCCAGGTGATCCAAAGCTGGAAGCTGCAGGGCTTTTGAATGAAAATGATGCAGCCGATGTAACTTCAGGTTTCCCAAATCCAAAAGCTGGAGCAGAAGTAGAGATAGCTGAACTGGTAGAGGCTGCAGCTCCAAATGCTGGGGAACTCCCAAAACCAGCAGGGCTTCCAGAAGAGGCAGCAGCAAATCCAGAGTTTGTTTTAAAACTAAAGTTCTGAGCATTATCACTGCTGCTGTTATTGACTGGAAAGCCTACAAAAAACAAAGCAGAAAAAAAAATTTTTATAGTCAGAAAAATGTCACCATTATTTCCTTCCCCTGTCTTTCTTTCTTATTTATGTCATGTTTCAGTATTGAGAAGCTTACTGGAAGGATGAGATAAGTAAAAATGAGAGGCTAGAACTACCCACTAAAGCCTGCTTCCTGCCTTTTCTGCTAACAATCCCATTTTCACCTTGATTGACCTTCACCCAAGGAGAAACCACAGGGACTAGAGAATAGACTTTCACTTTGGTTTCTACTTACCTCACCAGAGCTGCCACCTGAAGACAATGCTATGCTGTTAAACACAGTGACAAGAAAGTTCTCAAAGGTGCTGCTATCATAGCTATGTACTTCTACGAAACTCCTGAAAAACCATTCCTAAAATGGACTTCTAAAGCTTAAGTGTCTTTCAAACAACATGCCCAATCTGGCCTCCCTTTCACAAATGTCTAATGAGCCAAATGCTTTGAGGTTCTATGATGGAAGGTTGTAGAATTTATGAAGGTAATTTAAAATGGTGATTCAGGCTTATAATTTGAAACCTATAAAATCTAATTTTTCTACATCAGTTAAGTCCTGTATTACTTTATCACTTACCTGGCGACACAAATGTTGCTGCTTGACTACTGCCAAATCCAAATGCAGGTGCTGCTTGATTTATACCATCCTTTACATCAGAGAGCTGGGAAAAAAAAAAAAAAGTGTGCAAATAATAAAGTGCTTGATGAATAATGCTCCAGTGTCTTTTCTATACATTTTATGGACAAATTCAATTTTTTAAAATGGGCATTAAATGCTGGGTGTGGTGGCTCACACCTGTAATCCTAGCACTTTCGGAGGCTGAGATGGTGAAGGGCTTGAGCCTATGAGTCTGGGATGAGCCTCAGCAACACAGTGAGACCCCCATCTCTACAAAAAATTAGCCAGTGATCCCAGCTATTTGGGAACCTGAGGTGGGAGGATCACTTGAGCCTGGGAAAGCCTGGGTGACAAAGTAAGACTCTGACTCAAAAAAAGAACAGAAAAGAGAAGAAAAAAGTGCATTAAAAAAGGCAAAGTTAAATGCTTAACATGGAAAATGCCCATAATATGATGTTGAAAAGGATAAGATCTAATACTGTATAAACAGTATAATCACAACTAATAATATGAATATGCATAAAAAATGTACATTAGTAAGTTAACAGTGATTGTCTCTGGCTGATGAATTATGGTTGATTTAAATTTTATTTATGCTTTTTTATACTTTCTAAATTCCTACAATGAGCAGATATTATAATGAGAAAAAGATTTTTAAATTTTTTTCAGTGTCTATAAGGTTAGATCTGCATTTATAGAGAAATCTAGATATTAGGTAAAAAGGACCTTTATAGAATACCCAGTCAACTTCAATACTCGAAATGAAGTAGATCCACTATTATATAATTAAAAGCTTATGACCAAATATCCATTAAACATTTCCCATTCCCTGAAAGTACTTTATGTTCTTGCTATTCTGTGCTCTAGAAATGTCTTTCATCTCTGCTTACTGAAATCTTAATCCTCAAGGAACTGTGTACTTGCTCCTTCCTTCCAAGAAGACTTTCTTAATCATCCAAAGCAAACATAAGTGATTTCTTTCACTTGGAAGCCTCAAAAGCATTCTCTGGCAGGTGCAGTGGCTCACACCTGTAATCCCAGCACTTTGGGAGGCTGAGGCGGGCGGATCATGACATCAGGAGATTGAGAACATCCTGGCTAACACAGTGAAACCCCGTCTCTACTAAAAATACAAAAAAATTAGCCGGGCATGGTGGCAGGTGCCTGTAGTCCCAGCTACTCGGGAGGTTGAGGCTGGAGAATGGCATGAACCCCGGAGGCAGAGCTTGCAGTGAGCCGAGATCGTGCCACTGCACTCCAGCCTGGGCGACAGAACGAGACTCTATCTCAAAAAAAAAAAAAAACACACACAAAAAAATTTTTTTTTTTTTTGAGACTGAAACCTCCACCTCCTGGGTTCAAGTGATTCTCCTGCCTCAGCCTCCTGAGTAGCTAAGATTACAGGCGTGTGCTACCATGCCTGGCTAATTTTTGTATTTTTAGTAGAGACCGGGTTTCACCACGTTGGTCAGGCTGGTCTTAAACTCCTGACCTCATAATCCGCCTGCCTCGGCCTCCCAAAGTGCTGGGATTACAGGCGTCAGCCACCGCGCCCAGCCCTCAAGAGCATTCTTTAAAGAATCAACTTTTTTTGAGGTATAGTCTAATACAATAAAATGCATCCATTTTTTGTATATATTTCAATGAATTCTAACAAACTTGCAACCACCACAATCGAGATTCAAAACATTTTTGTTCCCTGAAAGTTCTTTTGTGTCCCTTTCCAGTCAACTCCCTCTCAACTCCTCGTCCCCGGCAACCACTCTATCTGCTTTCTATCACTACAAATGAGACTTGTCTTTTCCAGAGTTTCATACAAATGGCATCACATGGTCTACACTATTGGTTTTGTTTTTTGGTCTGGCTTCTCTTCCTTAGTGTAATATTCATTAACAGGCAGATGATAAATTATAATATATCCATACAATGCAATGGGTACACTTCAGCATAAAGAAGGCATGAACTACTGATACATGTTAAGTCAGCTATGGGTGGGTTGTCCCACATCCTCACCTATGGGGGGGCCCTGGGCAGCTAGCAAAGAGCAGGGACCTTCCAGCCCTGAGGGAAGTTCCACAGTTCTTTGGACTCAGTTATCCTTTCTCCATCAGCTCTCATCCATGGTGATGGTGGGCCACCTCCCACACAAGGACAGACTACTTCCAAGAGGTCCTACTAAATTCAAATAGCATTACAACAACTAAAAGGTCAAAGAAATTAGCTTGCGCAAGAGTCTAGTTATTCAGGAAGCACATATTTAAGAAAGGGGAGGGGTGTTGGGACTGTCAACCATTCACTAAGTGTACGGACACAGTACTCTCACATCCTTTATACAGAGTAGAAACCATCTGAGAAATTGGAAATATTAAAATTATAAATGTGAATATCTTATTTTAAAATAAAATTTTTAAGAACTTTTTAATGGGTGTAGAAACATCATAACTTTATTTATAAGGATAATGAACTTGCTACAGTCAGGACCATAGATCTTTGGAGACAGGTGGGTATATATCTTCCAAAGGCATTTCTGTTTAAGACAAGGAACATACTGTGTTCTTCAGTCGCAAAATGATACATTACATTCTAAATGTGCATTCATATAATTGTTCAAAGTAATTTCTTTTTACATACAGATAACTTTAAATACTTGAATTTATATAAGTTTGCCATATTCAAAACTAGCACTACCAAAGTTAACAACTTTACCCTAAAAAGCTTTTAAAAGCATAACTGGCCGGGTGCAGTGGCTCATGCCTGTAATCCCAGCACTTTGGGAGGCCGAGGTGGGCACATCACGAGGTCAGGAGATCGAGACCATACTGGCTAACACGGTGAAATCCCGTCTCTACTAAAAAATACAAAAAAGTAGCCGGGCGTGGTGGTGGGCGCCTGTAGTCCCAGCTACTCGGGAGGCTGAGGCAGGAGAATGGCGTGAACCCGGGAGAATGGCCGAGATCGCGCCACTGCACTCCAGCCTGGGCCACAGAGCCAGACTCCGTCTCAAAAAAAAAAAAAAAAAAAGGCATAACTATTTCTGCTTTTCTGACCAAGGAACACAGAGAAAACTATTTCAAGACCTTGACTCTTAAGTGATGCTATTTTGGGAATGTGTGTATCAATTCTTGACAGAAAATTTTTGTTTTGCTTTCCAAATCTAAAGTAAAATATTCTCTTCAAAAAAGCAATGGGTAAGACACTTCCCTCAAGAAAACTCTCCCATACTCACCAAAGCTACTTTACTTGATATATTTAGACTTTTCAGTTCATTTACCCTGTTTCTCCATTGATTTATTAAATGTTGGACAGAATTTAGCTGAAAAGGGAAGACAGAAAAATAACAGTTCAATATTGTATGTTTAAGTTAGTTTCTTCAATAAAAACTTCACATATTTCTTTGCCAAAATCACGAAAGGTTTATGTAACAGTTTTATGGCCCATAACTTGCAAAATTTGCATTGACTTGGCCTGTTTGTCAAAGATATTCCAGCTCCAGTTCCCTCTCCCTGTTCAACTCCTTGTATCATCTGGTTAATATCACAAGCATCTGGCAGCACTTAGTTAGTTATATTTGGATGGGAGGTGAACACATGTACTAGTTGAAATGCATGATCATGACTGTAGAAACAGAAAAATACAGCATTTAAACTGCTTCCTTCAGGTACTCAACTTATTGTCAAGATTTTAATTTTTTTTTGATATCTGATATATGAAGATGTTAATCTGTATTACAGACTGTATCTTATTTAACTTTGTTTTTCTAGCATTCATCACTGGATCTGTACCTAACAGATGTTCAATAAATATCTGTCAAATGATAAAATGGTTTCATTTCTGGGACTGACTGTTAGGTAATTTGTAATAAAAATAGTAATATTCCTAATTATTAAAGTAAAAATATACTATCATTTTAATAACCAACCAATTTCAATGAAAATAATAGAGAAAAGAAAAATAGCCTTCTCCTGAAAAAAGATCATAGACCTCATCGGTTTTGCCAAAATACAAGCCACAATAAAGAAAGCAGTAATTAACAGCTCATCTGTTATTGCAGTAGATTAATAGGAAACAAACTTACATAACTCTGTAAGTTATTGCTGGTTAAGAAGTTATGGTATTCAAGTCTCAATTCCTCTGGTGAAATGTCTGTAAAACCTGAAGTGAGGAATCAATTGGAATCTTTAAAATAAATGCCAATAATTTTGATAGTAAAGCTACAGGTGCTAAACAAGAAAATATCTAATGTTGATTAGAAAATTTTCATAATCATAAGGAAGAAACTTAAAGCCTACACTCTACTTAATGTTTAATAAAGTGTAAAATTACAGTAAAATATAGTTGGTTATTTTGATCTTTAAATGGGGAAGAATTTTCTAAAGATAGGTGGGGTAGAATGAACAACAAACACAAGAGAAAGATTTGACTACACTTATATTCAAACTTATATTTAAAAAAATCTGCCAGAAACTATACTAAGCAAAATTATAAGGCAAATTGTACACTAGGAAAATTGCAATTTTAACATGTATGACAAGAGAAGAACTAATGCCCTAATGTATAAATAGCTCTTACAAATAAATGAGAAAAGTAAATGAATTTGGGCAAAGATAATGAACAGGCAATTCACACACAAAAAAATCAAATAGTAAATAAATGAAAGTTAAATGCAACTTAAAATATAGATAAAATGCTTTACTTATCAGACTGGCAGAAATTTTAAAAGCTGGTATTTACTGTTGTTCCAAATGTGGTGAAATGTATCATTTCCTAAATTACTGTTAAGGGAATTAAAATGGTACAAGTTTTCTGAGAGAGATAATTATTAATAAGCATCACAAGCCTGAAAAACATTCATATCCTGTGACTTACAATTTATAGGATTTAACCTTGGGAAATAGTTATATATGTAAACAAAGGTCACTATGTATAGGGGTGCTCATTCTAATATTTTTAGTACCAGAAACAAACTGAAAGCAAAAATTAGAATATAAAACTAGGGCCAGGCGCGGTAGCTCACACCTGTAGTCCTAGCACTTTGGGAGGCAGAGGCAGATGGATCACGAGGTCAGGAGATCGAGACCATCCTGGCTAACATGGTGAAACCCCGTCTCTACTAAAAATACAAAACATTAGCCGGGCATGGTGGTATGCGCCTGTAATCCCAGCTACTCGGGAGGCTGAGGCAGGAGAATTGTTTGAACCTGGGAGGCAGAGGTGGCAGTCAGCTGAGATTGCGCCACTGCACACCAGCCTGGGTGACAAAGCGAGACTCTGCCTCAAAAATAAATAAATAAATAAAACTAGATTACAGCTGGGCACGGTGGCTCATGCCTGTAGTCCCAGCACTTTGGGAGACCAAGGCTGGTGGATCACCTGAGGCCAGGAGCTCAAGACCAGTCTGGCCAACATGGTGAAACCCTGTTTCTACTAAATATACAAAAATTAGTTAGGCGTGTTGGCAAGCCTATAATCTGAGCGACTCAGGAGACTGAGGCTGGAGAATCACTTGAACCCAGAAGGCAGAGGCTGTAGTGAGCTGAGATTGCACCACTGCACTCCAGCCTGGGCAATAAGAGTGAAACTCTATCTCAAAAAAACAAAACAAAACAAAGAAAAACTAGATTACGATCCTAATTATATATATGTATATGTATATATGTATAGGTATACATATATACACACATAGAACAACTTGTACATCCCTGTACAAGTGGACCCTTGCAGTTCTGCTCAAGAGTCAACTGTACACAAGCTGTACAGGGCCCACTTGTACAGGGATTTTCTTCTGCCTCTGCCACTCCTGAGACAGCAAGACCAAACCCACCTATCCCTCTGCTACTCAACTTAAAGACAACAAGGATGAAGACTTTTATGATGATCCACTTCCACTATGTGAAGAATATGTTTTCTTTTCCTTATGATTTTCTATTTTTTTTTTTTTTTGAGACGAAGTCTTGCTCTGTTGCCCAAGCTGGAGTGCAGTGGCGTGATCTCGGTTTACTGCAACCTCTGCCTCCCAGGTTCAGGCAATTCTCCTGCCGCGGCCTCCCCAGTAGCTGGGATTATAGGCATACACCACCAAACCCGGCTAATTGTTTTTGTATCTTTAGTAGAGATGGGGTTTCACCACATTGGCGAGGCTGGTCTCAAACTCCTGACCTTGTGATCCGCCCACCTCGGCCTCCCAAAGTGCTGGGATTACAGGCGTGAGCCACCGCGCCTGACTCCTTATGATTTTCTTAACATTTTCTTTTCTCTTACAGTAGGTTATTAGTAGTTAAGCTTTTGGGGAATCAAAGCTTATATGTGGATTTTTGACTGCACAGAGGATCAGTGCCCCTAAACTCTATGTTGTTCAAGGGTCAATTGTATACATAAACAAGAAATATGTTTGTGTGTGTATGTTTTGAAAGAAATATACTAAAATGTAGTAGTTATCTCTGTGATAACAGGTTATTTTAATTTTATTTATATATTTCTGTACTTTCCAAGTTTTCTAAAGCAAAAGCTGTAACCTGTTTTTTTTTTTATTTTTGAGACAGAGTCTCATTCCTGTCACTCAGGCTGGAGTGCAGTGGCTCATTGCTGCCTTAACTTCCTGGGCTCAAGTGATCCTCCCATCTCAGCCTCCTGGGTAGCTGGGACTATAGGAATGTGCTACCACACCCTGGTAGAGACAGGGTTTCGCTGTTGCCCAGGTTGGTCTCAAACTCTTGGGCTCAAGTGATCCACCTGCCTCAGCCTCCCAAAGTGCTAGGATTACAAGCATGAGCCACCACATCTGGTCCAAAAACTGTAACTTTATAATTGGGCAAACTTATTAAGAAAGGCAAAAAATGTTCAAGATATTTTCTACAAAGAATTCCTTGTAACCCAGTTATTATTAACTCGAAGGACACCTGCTTCAGAATAAAGACTAAATGTTCAAAGCAGAACCCTGGATTCCTTCTAATGACTTGTCTTCCCCATCTTTACTGACGCCTCAAGCCAAAAAACCCTAGGAATCACCTTGGATTTCTCTTTCCCTATATCTAATTAATCAGTATCCTGCCAGTTCAAGCTCCAACAGAACCCAAATATGACCAATTCTGTCTTCACTGCTATGAACTCTAGTCACAAGCAGCAACGTCTTCTGTCTCCCTATCTCTACTTTTGCCTCTGCTCCCAACAGACCTTTTTTATCCCCCCTCACACAGCATGTTGAGTTAGCTTTTCCTAATCAGATCACGTCCCTCTTTTGCTTAAAGTTCTTCATGGCTGCCTGCCCAGTGCAATTAGGCCCAACATGATCTGGCCCCTGGCTATCTCTCTGGCCTTACTGTCATATTACTTTCCCTTGTTTACTCTCCTCCAATAATTCAGGCCTCACTAGTCTGTAAACACTGCCAACCTTGTTCTTACCTCAGGGCCTTTGCAATAGCTAGTCCTACTGCCAGGAATGTTTTCCCCAAATCTTCCCGTAACTGATACCCTCTCTTTATGCAGGACTCATTCCCAATACTGCCTCCCAGGAATAGATAACCACTCTATCTAAAGGAACATTGTTCCCCTAATTGCCTCCTATTCCTTCCAGCCAAGCTCAACCAGAATTCCTCATCTGAACCACAGAACACAGAAAACAATCTGAGTGACAATTTTCTCAAGTCTCGTAAAATGGGGCAAAAGTAGTATCATTCTATTATAGCTGCACAGAAAAAGTTAATTTATTAATACAATGGATTAATTCTACATGCATGATAAACCAGTGGATTTTAATATAATACCACAAAAGGATAGAAGTACGCAAACTTTTGGTCTCAGGACTCCTTTACATTCTTAAAAATCATTAAGGACCCCAAAGAATGTTTGTTTACATGGGTTACTTACATTGATAATTACCACATTTGAAATGAAAACTGAGAAACTTAGTATTAATTTATTTAAAAGAAATCAATTACCTATCTACATAAATGAAAAAGCTATTTTCCAAAACAAAAAATGAAAATTTAGTAAGATTAATAGCCTTGTTTTATGTTTATACATCTCTTAATGTTTGGCTTAATAGAAGACTGCTGGATTCTTATATGTTTCTGCATTCATTCTGTTGCAATATGTTGTTCTGACTGAAGTGTATGCAGAAAACGGGCACTCACACAGACACGTATTGGAAGAGGAAGACTTAAATGGCTTTTTCAAGTAACTGTGGACATTTTTCTTTGATACTACACCAAAACTTGACAAGTGGTAGTTTCTTAAAAGTTAATTATAACACAGACTCAAGCCATACTAATGAACTTTTTGTGGTATTATATTAAAATCCACTGGTTTATCATGCATGTAGAATGGACTTTCAGCCATGCATAATTTTGTAATATCACACATAAGTCATTTTAAAAATGCCAGTTCACCGAGTTATGCAGAACTTCCAAACATTGGCATGTTATTATACAACAAAAAAATTTTTTTTTTTTTTTTGAGACAGTCTCGCTCTGTCACCCAGGCTGGAGTGCAGTGGCACAATCTCGGCTCACTGCAAGCTCCGCCTCCCAGGTTCACACTATTCTCCTGCCTCAGCCTCCCGAGTAGCTGGGACTACAGGTGCCTGCCACAACATCTGGCTAATTTTTTGTATTTTTTAGTAGAGACAGGGTTTCACTGTGTTAGCCAGGATGGTCTCCATCTCCTGACCTCATGATCCGCCCACTTCGGCCTCCCAAAGTGCTGAGATTACAGGCATGAGCCACCACGCACGGCCAAAAAATTTTTTTAAAGAGACAGGGTCTCACTCTGTCACCCAGGCTGGAGTGTGGAGGCACCATCAGAACTCATCATAACTTTGAACTCTTGAACTCAAGTGATCCCCCCACCTCAGCCTCCAGAGTAGCTAAGACTCTTGGCATATGCCATCATACTCAGGCTAATTTTTCTATTTTTTGTAGAGACAGGGTCTTGTTATGTTTTCCAGGGGGGTCTCAAACTCCTGGCTTCAAGCCATCCTCCTACCTCAGCCTCCAAAAGCACTGGGATGACAGGCATGAGCTGCTGTGTGTGGCCCTCACATTTGTGAATGTTGCCCTCTGTTTCATCAGAAGAGAGTTTAAGTATTGAGAAGTCATCATGTTCATGATGACAAAACCGTTTTCCGTAATTCCAATTTTTGCATGAAAGTTTTAATTTTTTTCTTTGGCAATAAACACTATCAACTGTTTTTTTCTAAATAACCATAGTTGTCATTCCTTTCAAATAAATATTGTCTTTGAAAAAAGTGGCTAGCTCAGTCCAACACGAACAATCACACAAGATAACCATCACACTTGGGCATGGGGCAGACACACTTTGTATGTGCTCCCCATTTTGTCACACAGAATACTAAAAAGCTGTGTACTCAGGGTCAAGGGTTAACAAAATTAGTAATTTTTATGTCTTCATAAAGGAAGTTCTTAAGTTCAAATGGCATTAAACTTTTTTTTATTGTGACATCTACTAGTAATTTATTGCCTCTGCCTTGATTCATGCTAAGATACAAGTAGTTCTACTCAAATTGCTTTTGCACCAAAAGTACAAATGTCACCACAGTGAAAAATGGCAATTAATCACTTCGTATTATTAGAAAATATTTTTGAACTTAGGCAACTCCTAAAAGGGCCTCAGGGATAAAGTTGCCAGATTTAGCAAATAAAAATACAGGATGCCCAGTTAAATTTGAATTTCAGATATACAATAAATACTTTTTTTAGTATAATGTGCCTCAAATATTACATGGGTGTACACATATTAAAAATATTGTTTGTTTATCTGAAATTTAAATATAACTGGATGTCCCGTATTTTATCTGGCAACTGTATTCAGGAATCCACATTTTGAGAACCACTGCTTTAGGGCAACAGGCATTAGGTTCAATTTGGAATGGATTAATACTCAAGTACTAATACTTAAGCTGATTAAGGGCTTAATACTTTGTTGTTTCTCTATAGAAAATATCATTATCTGAAATCATCTTAGTTTATTTGCAGCACTTACTGTCTTACTCCTCAAGAATGTAAGATTCATATGGAAGGGATCTTGTCTGTCTTGCTTATCACTATATTCCTAGCACTTAGCACAAAAGAAATTCAGTAAATATTTGTTAAATGGACAAGTAAATAAATAAGAAGCGTTGCAATGCAAATGCTCACAGAAAATGAGCAACTAGAACTGAGACAGAGTAAAGATCCCAAGGTTCTGCGATATTGATTGCAAGGGCTCCCATCTGCAAGGTACCCACTGTTTCCTCAAAAGGATGGAGGCCCAGGAACACCTAGAGTGGGCTTGGAAAAGCCTGGTGGTGTAGGTTTCAGCCCAGAAAGGGCTTAGGGACTATGGACCAAAAAAAAAAAAAAAAAGAGAGAGAGAAGAATATTCTAAAGCAAATGCTATTTCAGGTCCCAGGCCAGGTGTGGTGGCTCACACCTATAATCCCAGCACTTTGGGAGGCCATGGCGGGTGGATCACTTGAGGTCAGGAGTTTGAGACCAGCCTGGCCAACATGGCGAAACCCTGTCTCTACTAAAAATACAAAAATTAGCCGGGTGTGGCAGGCACCTGTAATCCCCGCTATTCAGGAGGCTGAGGCAGGAGAATCACTTGAACCTGGGAGGCAGAGGTCACAGTGAGCCGAGATTGCATCACTGCACTCCAGCCTGGGGGACAAGAGTGAAAGTCTGTCTCAAAAAAAAAAAAAAAAAAAAAAAAAAAAAAATTGCTATCCCTTAAGCCTCCTCACATCTAAACATTATCTCCAGAACGGGTCTCCACACATAGGGAAGAAAGAACAGAACCAGGCAGCCAAGGCCTTAATGACAGGTAGGATGTGACTCTTCTATTCACTACAGGAAGCTAAGAGGTTCCAAAGTTGTATATACAGGGAATCAAGAATATAGAGTCTCTTCCTGGGCTTTATTTAAATGTTTTCTCCCAAGAACTACATGTCTTAAAAGACTATATTCTCCAACCTTAATCTCTAAATTATGAAGTTTGGCTAGAATACTCAAATACTTTAAACAATGTCCAAACTCTCCTAGTTGTAGCTAAGTTGGTGGTTGATTTCTTTATTTGGCATTCTTTTGGTTTTAGAAAATAATAGTTTTAGAACATATTTTTTAAATGCACAATTTTTCAGTTACCTGAAATATTAGGTTTCTTTTTCACTGGTGAATAAACAGAAAACATCCACTGCCCTGATGATTCCCAAACCTCCATATCTTTTACAATTCCTTCCCTGCAAAAAAGAAAAAAAAACAAACAAAAAAGAGTAAAGGATCTTCTTAGCTGCTTGGTAAAATTTATCGTTAATGGTTTTCCACAACTGAAAATTTAAATTCTAGTAAACACATAGTTCAAAATCTTTTCCATTATATTTTCTGAAGAGTGTTCTTTAAAGCACAAGTTTATAGAAGTGTGAACTATATTTCATGGTTACAAATGGTATTATAATGTCAGAGAAGTTAATGAGTTTGATTTTCCAATACACTGACCCATTAACCAATATACTTACATAAATACTATCACAGATACCATACGTTATTTAGGAATTAAAATCTAAAATAGTAACTTTAATCTTTCTTTGTTAATTATCACAAACATCAATCATTTAACTGGGAAGAACAAAGTACCACTTACGTGATACAGAATCATAATATTTTAAAGGTGGGTTATAGGACTTCAGAGATCATTTTATCTAATTCTCAGATTTTGCAACAGGGGAAACAGACCCACATCCATACAACTAATCTGTGGTAATGCTGTGGGTAGATTCGGCTGTAAATTAAAGTTTCTTTCTACTTAGACTATGCCAATAAAAGGAGAATTATCACAGAGAAAACTATTAAATTTAGGACTGTAACAAATGCAGAAAGTAAGGTTTTGTTTGTTCATTTACTTAAAAAAAAATCGGCTATATATGGTACATGGCTCAAAATATCTACAATTGGTTCTGATTTAATTAGGAGAAGTAAAAGACTAACCAGTTACATTTAAATTCCATCCTGGTCACCATGAGTAGAGGGAACATTACAGATAGCCAAGCATTGTTTTGACACCAGCCATAAATTTTACCGTAAATATTCTCAAGAAATGTCGTGTATCTACCTCACAATAAATGTGGGAAATCAAATGAGATCAGTTTGAATAGGATAATCCAAGTAAAAGTTTTAGAAAGAAATAAGATATGTGACTGGATATGGTGGCTCATGCCTATAATCCCAGCACTTTGGGAGGCTGAGGCAGGCAGATCACTTGAGGTCAAGAGTTCAAGACCAACCTGGCCAACATGGTAAAACCCCATCTCTACTAAAAACACAAAACATGAGCTGGCGTGGTGTCAGGCACCTGTAATACCAGCTACTTGGGAGGCTGAGGCAGGAGAATGGCTTGAGCCCAGAAGGCGGAGGCTGCAGCGAGCTGAGATTGCACCACTGCACTCTAGCCTGGGCAACAGAGCGAGACTCCGTCTCTAAATAAATAAATAGAGAGAGAGAGACAGAGATAGTATAACTGACCTCCAAGTTTACAAGTTGTTCTAAATTACATCACACTTTGTAAAGGACTTGTAAGTTAGAATGAACTTAAGGAGGACTAATCTTAGAAAGATATTCACAATATAGTGTTATCAACACAAAGTGAAAAAGCATAATTATCCCTAGGAAGGCACTCTACTATTATAGAAAATAATATATTTTTAAGTGAAATAAAGTTTAGGATAATACATAGCAAAAGAGTGGCTATCTATGAGTAATAGGATTGTGGGTGACTTTTCTTTTTTTTTGCTTACTCTGATTTAAAAATAATGCATTATTTCTTTTTTTAAAGAAAATATTGTATTACGAAAAGATGTACAAAAAAAGAGAAAACAAAATACAAAGATTGTAGGTGCTTTTGAAAAAACATAAGCAAATGGATAGTAATTTTCCTGAAAGTTTTCACTTACAGAAGTTTCTTTTCATCTTTCTGCTCATCAGGACTAAGTGAAGCAAATGGGTTCTCAGACAATCCAAAGCCTTCTTTCCTGTTTGTTGAAGCTCCAGAATCAAAAGAACCGAAAGATGGCTTTTCTTGATCTCTGCTGCCCCCCCATGGTGTGGATTTGGAGAAACTGGATGGCTGGATGACATTGGAGTATCTCTGGCTAGTGGTATTCCATCCACGTCTATTATTACCTAAAATAAACAATAAAACAAAATAATTTTACTAGCAACTTTTCTTTTTATTTTTTCTTTTTAATTGAGATAGGGTCTCACTCTGTTGCCCAGGGTGGAGGACAGTGGCATGATCTTGGCTCACTGTAACCTCAACCTCCCAGGCTCAATCAATCCTCCCACCTCAGCCTCCTGAGTAGCTGGGACCACAGGCGTTTTTTGCACACCACCATGTCTGGCTAATTGTACTTTTTGTAGAGACAGGGTCTTGCCATATTGCCTGGGCTGGTCTCGAACTCCTGGGCTCAAGCGATCCAGCCACCTTGGCCTCCCAAAGTGCTGGGATTACAGGCATGAGCTACTGTGCCCAGCAACTGTTCTTTTAAATCTCAAAAATCTTCATATCTTAGTAATTCTAGACATTATAGAAAGATTCAACAAGCACTACATTTAAATTCATTTTAAATGACAATCTCTTCATTTTTTATTTACAGACAGTAGTTAGGTTGTAATATCAACAAATCATATAGTGGCCAATTGCATTTCTGTTTGAGATTCAGAAGAAAATAATATAGAAAAATAGTGATATTTTACTTAATTCAGCTGACAAAGCTTATTAAATAAACAACTGCTTGATAGTTAAGTTGACAGAAGGCATGCATCATACATCATAAACTCTTTCAGGATAAAAACTTGTGTTTTTATCATTCTTTGCTCCCCCACCAGGCCCTATATTATAGTAAAAGCTGAAAAACGGACATTGAATTAGTTTCTTGAATATGAAAGATTAGATTCTACTCGCTATTTTTGGACAGATGCTTAAGTCTATTTGATGCAGTCTTTTCTCTGGGCAAGCACCTACACACCTATTTTCACAGAGAGATTATACATGGTATTTACATGTGAACAAAATACATGTAGTTCCTCTATAAGTAGCTTTCCAATATTTCATAAATATCAAAATGAGTCAAAAAGATTATCTCCTCTCTTTACATACTGGTTTTGTTTTTTAAAATCACTTTAGCAATCTCATTTACTCATCACTTCCTACTTGGGGCCAAGATTAAGGTAATTCATCTCGTTTCTGACTGAATTAGGAGATAAGCCATTAAATATATCAAAAGTTGGAATGACAAACATGCCCAGTTGTGAAAGTTCATCCTGCAACTCTAAACTACCCTAATAATAACAACAACAACAACAAAAGTGGAGATTGCTAGACCAGATCCTTCAAGTAGGAGTTAATGGTGTCTTCTTCTAAAGTTCCAAATTTCACTGGGGTATGATACAACTGAAGAAACTCACTTCCTCCTTTTTTTTTTTTTTTTTTTTTTTTAATATTGCTTTTGGTCTTCATACTTATAATTCCAGAAACATTTGTTTCTGGGAGCTAAATACAAAGTTTGTCTGCTAAATTTTGTTTACACTCACATTCCTCAGACCTGAGTCCTAATTTTTGGTTTGAAATATTTCACTAGATTAATTGTGGATGAAATAAAAGGACTGTCTTCCCTTAAGTGGGATCAGACGCGAAACCATCAACCAATACAAGGTTTAAAGGTTAGACGTAGCCTGCCGCGGTCACTCACGCCTGTAATCCCAGCACTTTGAAAGACCGAAGCGGGCGGATCACCTGAGGTCACAAGTTCGAGACCGGTCTGGCCAACATGGCAAAATCCTGTGGCGGACACCCGTAATCCCAGCTACTTGGGAGGTTGAGGCGTGGAAATCGCTTGAGCCTGGGAGGCGGAGGTCGCAGTGAGCTGCCTGAGAGAGCAAGACGCTGTCTCAAAATAACATAACATAACAAAGATCAGATGAAGAGCCCTAAAGGAGGGGAAGGAAGGGAGACAGGGCCTAATTATTAACCCGATCTTTAACATCTTGTGTTATTTTAAGGTTTCACGTCTAATCTCTCCTTTCCTTTAAGACAAAAAGCTTTGACAATGATCTAGGCCCAGGGATTAGATTAACGAGGCCCCCACATCCCCTTTCCTCATCTCCCGGAGAGTTAACTGGACTTCCCACCTTCCCAATTTCACCCCAAATGTATGAACAGGTGCATTTTTTCTGCGGTATGGCTCTATAGGTTTTATTAGATTTTCTTTTCTTTTTTGAGACAGAGTCTCGCTCTGTCGCCCAGACTGGAGTTGGGTGACGCGATCTCGGCCCACTGCCACCTTCACCTCCCGGGTTCAAGAGATTCTCCTGCCTCAGCCTCCTGAGTAGCTGGGATTACAGGCGCGCGCCATCACGCCCAGCTTTTTTTTTTTTTTTTGTATTTTTAGTAGAGACGGGGTTTCACCATGTTGGTCAGGCTGGTCTCGAACTCCTCACCTCGTGATCCGCCCGCCTCGGCCTGCCAAAGTGCTGGGATTACAGGCGTGAGTCACCGCACCTGGCCGGTTTTATTAGATTTTCAAAGAAGTCTACGACTTATCCAAAATGAAGTCCTGATTCTGACCCAAGCTGCTAGCCTCACCCTCGAGAAAACAACTTAGTAAAAATTATATTCAATTACGGCATTTACCTACAAGGTAGTTTCGATAGTTAATTCCGATTTAAAAACTCAGTTTCGCAAAAGCATCCAGGCCCAAACCCAGGTCCTCTGAAGCTCAATAAAAACGGACCACATGAATAATATGTAGATAAAAATCCTCGGTTTAAAAACGTTGTGCAGGGCCCAGTGGGGCCGGCAAGGCCGCGACGCGGGCACGTTGGGGTCACCAGCACTGGGACACAGGCGGGACGTCCGGTCCCCGCCAGCGGGCCCTTCACGGCTCGGTTACCGCGGAGGATACAGAGGAGATTCACCTGAAGACTGCTGCTGCGGTTGCTGCCGTCCTCCTCCTGCACCCCTGGCACCGGGATGTTCGTTCCAGCACCGATCTCCAAAGCGGCACCGGCCTTGAAGGAAGAATTGACAAATGGCCATTGCAACTGCGCTGCCGACGGATGGGTCTTCGGTCGGCACCGGTGGATGCCAGTTACTGGGCAGAGAGCCGCAGACAACTTCCGCGCCCGGCCGGGCTACTGTGACGTCATCTTCTCGCGCCGGGGGAAGGCGTTTTTCCGCCTGTCTCACTCCCCCAGTGCCATGAGACGCGTGGACTTGAGCCAATAAGATTTGAGAAGAGCGGACCGCTCTGACGCTTGAGTCTGTCCTGGGAAGGCGGGATGCTTGAACGGTTACGTGAAGACCGGAGGCTTCACCGCGGGGTCACCGCGTTTGACCCCGGTGCAGGGCCTCGGACTACAGGAATGCTTGAGGTCCAAAATGAGGGGAAAGCGGAGCAAGCAAACGCACAACTTCAGCAAGGCCCTGAGAGGAGACTTAGCTATGATTTGCGAGACCGAGTCGTTCTTGCTAAGACAGTAAAACTTAGCTTGGGTTGAGAAAGTAACAAAATGCCCAGCCTTTCATCTGGATGGATAACAGAGTCAAATAAAGCCAGACGTGACGTTAAGAGGAAATAATGTTTCTTTTAGGACATACTGCAACGGAAAAGTATTACCCCTTTGAGTGAGTAGTACATTCTTACTACACACTGAGAAACTTTGTTCTTTCAAGTCCACATAAACGTTGCTATTTGAAATTATATCAGAACCAGTGAAACGTCCCATCCTTGCCTGGAGGATCTAAGTCTCTCTGACGCAGAGAAGCAGCCTCAATTTCTACCTAGGTGTAGAGCTTCATTCATATAAACAGTTTCTGAAAACATTCTATATTTTCTTAACTTTGCAGTTTCCAAGGAAACATGCCCTACATTCAGTTCTCGTCCAGACCTGATGTTAATGCCTTTACACACAGCTATGTTTTGAGATTTCATTTAAATTTCACCTAAACTTCACTCTCCCTGCCAAAACATACAACTACCTTTTATTTTGTACAGTGAGACACCCCACAGCTCCTCTGGTGTGCAGTCTTCTTGATTGCAGTAAGTCAATAAATCTGACTTTGTTGGCTTACAGGTTTGTGCTGGTGGTTTTAGGATTACTGGGCTGGGAGTGAGCCATCATTCTTGCTCATGTAATTTGTTTGGATTTTGAAGACAGAATCTACAGGACGGGAACTACTTGTCCAAACTAGTTTTTTATTTTCTTTAATCAAGGCAATTCATTTATTTTGAAACAAATTTATGGAAAAGTTACAAATAGCAGTACAAAGAACTTTTTTCCTGAACCATTTGAGACTATGTTGCAGACCTAATGCCCCATCATCCAAATACTTACTGTATATTTTCTACAAACAAACCAGGGCATTCTATATAACCACAACACAATCAACAAAATTAGGACATTGATACTGATGCACTACTACTCTCTAATCCTTAGACTCCATTTATGTTTTGCCAAATGTCCCAGTATTGTCCTTTAGAGGAAAAGGGTTCAGTTCAGAATCATTGTTGCTTAGCCATATTTCTTTTGTCTCCTTCAGTTTGGAAGATTTTTTGTTTTTCCTTTTCATGACCTTGACACCATTAAATACTACAGGCTGGTTATACTGTAGAAGTTCCTTAGTGCAGGTCTGTTTGATGTTTTCTCTTGATTAGATTCAGATTATGCATCTTTGGCAGGATTATCACAGAAGTGATGCTGCGGTTTTCACATTGCAGGTTGTGCACAGTTTCAATTTGTCCAGTTACTTGTGATACTCAATTGATCACTTGCTTAAGGTGGTGTCTGCCAAGCTGCTCTCCCATAAAGTTATTCTTTTCCTTTTTCTTATTAATAAGAATTTTGTGGGGAGGCACTTTGAAAGTGTATAAAAATCTGATCATTCAACTTTTGGCTCATTATTTATTCATATCAGTATGGACTCATGATTTCTAATGTTACTCAGTGGGTTATAATCCATTACTATCATTATTTATTTTGATGCTCAAATCATCTCCAATTTGGCCAGCGGGAGCCCCTTTAAGCTCCTTTGCACATTTGAAAAAGGAAAAAAAAATCCCCATGATTACTTGAGCACTTTTTAACTTTCTGATCTAGAGATGTTCCAGGCTCATTTTTACATTCTCTACTCCAGTCCTGAAATCAGTTATTTCTCCAGGGGTCCTTTTGGTGCTGCATAGAAACCAAAATCTGAGCTTTAATGTGCTTATTGCTACTGGGATGTCTTTGCTCTCATGAACATTGCTTGGAAATACATAAGTATAAACAAACACAAACATTTACATCAAACATTTCTATATTTTATATATTAAAACTATTATGTCTTCTATATCAAAGACTATGAAAAAAAAGAAAAAACTTGAGTTCACACTGATAATCTCCAATTTCAATCCAAAATCACATGATTCATTTTATTTTCCTCTATTTCTAACTCTATTGATAACAAGAAACTTGGCTTTCATTAACCTTAATATATTTATTTTATTATCTCCTTGTGTTAACCAGTATTGCTTTGTAGCCACTGACTTCTCATTCCTGCAAATGTCAGCATGTATAAGGACTCTGCTGGGATCAGATACCTAAAATAATACCAGTGGTGGCTGAAACTTAAGTGAGGGTAAGCCCAGTGCTTGGTGAAGGTAGAGAGGGGCAAGGTCAGAATGCCGGTTGAGACTGTCTAGGTGAAGTGTGTGTGAGACAATGAGAGCCTAGGGCTTGCAGAACTTGGTAGTGATCAGTTTGGTGATGGGTATAGGTGGAAATCAGGAGAGTGGGGTTACAGGAAGGAAACTTCTGATTTCTTCAAGATGGCAGAGTGAAAATACTGCTGCCTCCCCTTCCAATTAGATGACACAACTGTCTCAACTTGATAGGAGATAGGATTCCTCCCCCAGTAAAAGGGAACAAGAGACACTTCAGATTCTAGGACATCAGGTACAGAGAGGGCTTATGCTTATTGAATGGTGAGTCAAACATCCCAGAAAAATACCTATGTATCTCTTATGGACCAGCAACAAAAATAGTTGGCCATCTCCTCATCATATAATGAAGTTCGCTGATTAAGCTCACCCTTGTACCCCTGAATTATCAATTTTCAAATGTCTCATTATAAATACAAATGCACAGTCAGGGACTAGACATTTGAAGGCAGATGCCAACAGGAAAGAGCAAAGCAAAGAAACAGAAAAAGAAGTTAGAGAAAACAAAAACACCAAAAATATTTTAAAAGTTAAAGAAACTAAAATATCACCAGAGAGGATAACATGAAACAAGAATGGCATACTGTACAAAAGAACAACTATAGAAATAAAGTACTCTTGGAAAACATAGATAGTGGGAACAAATTAAAGAGGGTTAGAAGATAATGTTTGAGGGAATTTCTGTAAGATTCAAACTAGATCTTGAACCTCATTTTAAATCTGTTATGAGAGAGGGCGTAAAGCTCTGGAGAGTAAAAAGATTTTTAGTTAATAAGGGCAACATTTCAAACAATTTCCCAGCACAGACTTTTTTTTTTTTTTTAATTTTAAATTTTTCTAAAGTAGTGTGAATCATCTTGGGAAGGAGGAAGGTTAGGAAGATAAAAGTGGATTCAAGCTTTTTAAAGTCTTTTGAGGCAACTGTAAAGAGGGAGGAAGATTTTTTTTTTCTTTCTTTTTTTTGAGACGGAGTCTCGCTCTGTTGCCCAGGCTGGAGTGCAGTGGCGGGATCTCAGCTCACTGCAAGCTCCGCCTCCTGGGTTCATGCCATTCTCCCGCCTCAGCCTCCCGAGTAGCTGGGACTACAGGGGCCCGCCACCGTGCCCGGCTAGTTTTTTGTATTTTTTAGTAGAGACGGGGTTTCACCATGTTGGCCAGGATGGTCTCGATCTCCTGACCTCGTGATCCGCCTGTCTCGGCCTCCCAAAGTGCTGGGATTACAGGCTTGAGCCACCGCGCCCGGCCGGGAGGAGGATATTTAAAGGAAGGATTTATCAAATGCTGAATGATGCCACCTGTAAAATGTCCTTTCATTAAAAGGACAAATTATTTGGACTTAAGAGTCCAAATAATGACTCTCAGTGAGAGCTGGTTTGGTGCCATGTGGGAGTAAATTGGATTTTCTCAAGTCTTTGGTATAACCTTAGAAAGCAAAATTTCCTCTGAATACCTCCTTTACCCGTGCATATATAGCAAGTCCAAAATTTTTGCTGTTAACACTATATATGTATATATGGCAAAAGGAATATAGACTGCTTGGTGGAATAATTGTTTATTAAATGGCTGATTTTGATTTTGTTAGTAATACTGTCATGTCAAAATAATTCATGACTCAACATTTTCATGGGACGATATGTCGAGTTTTTGCCAGCAAGGCCACAAAGTCACAAGTGTATTTTTTTTTTTAATAGCAACAATTTTTTAAAAATGCTAAACTTTTCTGTCCAAATTGTGATTTTCGAAAGCATAAACGGAATTACTTTGTCATCAAAATAGTATCACTGCAAGGGATATAACATTAACTTATCAAATGTCTACTAAAAAGCAAGCAGAGCACTTTACAGGACAGGAAGTTTTGGGGAACAAAATAGAAAATGTGCTTGTCAGTATGGTGGGTGTACTTTTACCCACTATCCTGATATTGACAATTCTGTAGAAATTTCCAAGGCAGAAAAAGACACTAATTAGGAATTATGATACAGATTACTAAGGAAAAAAACCACTTCATTATAATCCACATCAAACCTGTGTATGTATTTACTAGTGTGTTCTAGTCAATTGACACAGCCTAAAAGGAAATGCTAGTGTACTTCAAATATCTCAAACAGGTACTGTATATTCTACATAGGAGACTGTCAAATTATATAGCTATATTGTAATATAATAAATGAATATTTCATCCTCAAAAAAATTAAACTAGCCACACTTTTCAATAGAGTGCAAAATTGAAAACCCTACTAAAAATGTTCAGAATAATCAAATCTAGAGACAGAAAGTAGATTAGTGGTTGCCTAGGGCTATGGTATTTGGGAGGTTTTCTGTGTCAAACAGCGTCTCCCCAAATTCATGTCTACCCAGAAACTCAGAATGTGACCTCATTTGGAAATGGGGTCTTTACAGGTGTAATTAAAGTAAGGTCATACTGGATTGGGGGCCCTATGTTTTCCTTTTTACGTTTGTATTTTGCTTTTTTTTCTTTTGAGAAGGAGTCTTGCTCTGTTGCCCAGGCTGGAATCAAGTGGCATAATCTCAGCTCACTGGAACCTCTGCCTCCCAGGTTCAAGCAATTCTCCTGCTTCAGCCTCCTGAGTAGCTGGGACTACAGGTGCGCACCACCATACCTGGCTAATTTTTGTATTTTTAGTAGAGACGGGGTCTCATCATGTTGGCCAGGCTGGTCTTGAACTCCTGACCTCAAATGATCTACCTGCCTTGGCTTCCGAAAGTGCTGGGATTACAGGCATGAGCCACTGTGCCTGGCCTGAATAGTATACTTTAAATGGTGAACTGTATGGTATGTGAATTATATCTCAATAAAGCTGTTCTGTACATTAAAAAACCCTACCCAAATAGAAATATATGTTTTTCCTAATTCCTTTTTGATTTAAACATTTTTAGGGTTTAAGACTATTATAACCTCTATATAAAGAAAACTGAAAATTAAGAGACACTGCTTCACAAATTCTAAAAACAGTCATTACCTAACATACTTGAAGAACAAATAAATTGAGTGGCCTATTTTAAGTTAAAAAATATTTAATATTATCAGATAAAAACATTGATGGTGACAGCTTTACATGGTTCATTCCATACACAGTGAAAAAGGCAAAGTATTACTAGAAAAGAAATGAGTAGTTGGGTTTGTAAAAGATTTATTGATCACATAAAAGCAACGAATAGGAGATGACATATATATAATTCATGATTACAAAACTTTTAGAGACAACTAGGTTAAATATCTCATGTTCTGGCTAAGGGAAAATAATTCATGATCTCTTTAAAGAAGTTCAAAGTCAACACTGATATTGTGGTACAACTACCAGTGCTTTTCTAATGATCTAGAAATTTGCTATAAATAGCTTTACCTTTTGCTAGTTAATCACTTATTATGATTGGATTTTATTTAACAGTGAGGACTAAAGAGGCAGAATCCTTTTTTAACCACTGAATAAAACAGAGACATAAATTAATGATTGGTGCTAAGCTTTACATTTTGTGTTAAAAATATGGAATATATTTAAGTGGATTGAATATATTTCATAAGGAGTTGGACACATTAAACCCCCAAATCTGTTTAGGAAGTTTTGTGAGAAAGTGTGTATATGCCTTGACTCACTCTGGCTTACTTTAAAAATGGAATACATTTGGCACTAGAAAAATAAATAAAGACAAGCAAACTATGTGAGACTAAGCTGCTCCATCTGAGTTGCCCATCTTGACTTACAATTCATACTATTTCTTAGTTCTTGACTGAGCACAAACAGACCTAACCACGTAGCACTTCTGTGATGCATGAAAACAGAATCTAGAGCTAAGATACTGCGCTTCACTGATGAGCCAATCTTCCATTCTGCCAAAATCATAGTTACAAATGTGAAATTCATTCAAGAAATTCATATTTTTAACAAATGCTTATACTTTTTCAAGTTTTCTTGCTAGATATGTTCTTGGCTTTGTGGCCAGCTAAAATATGATCTTTGAATTAAGGAAATCCATATAAAAGAAACATCTATTTAGTAGGAACCTCATTTCACTTGAAACTTTCTTTACCAAAACACCAAACCAAAACTTTGTCACCAAACTCTTGGAACAAAGCACTGGTGGCTATATTTTTGAGTCTCTGATGATTCTGAAGTCCACTCATTTTTCATGTTTCAAGGGTCTCTTCATTTGCTCCACAAGTATCGACAACACAAATTAAACAACTTGTGACTGGAAAAGCACGAACTTTGGAGTTGGCAACCCATTTGTCTGTTTCAGTATTATATTCGAGAATGTGTCCCAATCGACCAACACCCTGAAAACCAGCCAAGACATAAACTATAGAGCCAACTGCTGCACATTTCACTGTTACACCCTTCCATGGCATTGGTGAGACCATCTTCCATTCGTTCAACTTAATATCGTAATATTCCACATTGTCCAGACCACCTTTAAAAGAATAAAACATGAACAACATGAAAAACTGTATGAAAAATTCTAAGGTTTCTTAAATAACTTTTTGTATTTTTCCAATATTTTATTGTGAAAATTTTCAAACACACAGAAAAACTGTAATCATTTTACAATGAATGTCCACATAGCCACCACCTAAATTCTTACTCTTATTTTAACACAATAGAAATTTAATATTTCTTTTTAAATATTGATTTTTTTCTACAAAATTAAACATATTCTATCTATTCTGGAAAAATGCAAAATAAACAGATCAGTGATTTCCCCTCTGATTAACTTTGATTATAATTATTCAAATGTCCTTCTTTTCCCTCTTATATTTTAGCACTTTATGGAAAATAGCAATGGGCGGGGACACAAGAAGGAAAAGACGTTGTTTGTTACATTTAAGTAATGCTTTAATGTACTGACTAAAATGAAGCTTGTGTCTAGATTCAGTTCCGACTCCCTTTCATTTAATAAAATTATTTAAGATTCTTTAGTACATCATTTACGAATATAAAATGCCAAATTTAGTCATTTAAAAATTACAATATTGGGCCAGGTGCGGTGGCTCACGCCTGTAATCCCAACACTTTGGGAGGCCGAGGCGGGCGGATCACGAGGTCAGAAGATGGAGACCATCCTGGCGAACATGGTGAAACCTCGTCTCTACTAAAAATACAAAAAAAAATTAGCCGGGCGTGGTGGCGGGCGTCTGTAGTCCCAGCTTCTAGGGAGGCTGAGGCAGGAGAATGGCATGAACCCCGGAGGCGGCGAAGCTTGCAGTGAGCGGAGATCCCGCCACTGCACTCCAGCCTGGGCGACAGAGCAAGACTCTGTCTCAAAAAAAAAAAAAAAAAAAAAAAAAAAAAAAAAAAAAAAAAATTACAATATTTATATTTTCATGCAATGTTTAAAAATATTTAGGAAACTTTACCATTTAGGCCCTGGATACAAGCCTTAAAATTTGTATTTAAAAAGTTTTTAAAGGTTTTTTAAGGTTCACATATTTCTATTGCTCAATAGTTCTTAAGCTGGTGTGACATCATTCCCCAGGAGGTATCTGGAAATGTATAGCAGCCATCTAAAATTGTCACAATGACTGGTGACCACTGCGACATTTCATAAACAAGAATGTTTAACATCCTGCGATATTTTATCAAGTATGTTAATTCCCAGAAACTATAAAAATAGATATAATAATATGCATGGCAAATGCTATCTAGATTTTTAAAAAATGCTTCAATAATTTAAGGAAGTATCAGCAAACTCATCAGGAAAGTGGAACAGTGAATTAACATCACATACCTAAACCATTCTGACCACCCACAGCAAATATCTTGTCTTTTACAAATACCAGCCCATGATTCTTCCTGGCTTCAATCATTGGACACAGCTCAGTCCATCTGAAAAAATTAAAGATTTTAGTGTGCTTGTTTACAGGAAGTAAAATAACTCATACTAATAAGAAAGGTCTATTATTCTAATTAAGTGCTTATTTACTACTCACATATGTGTACATATACACACAAAATGTCTAGAAGGGTAGAAAACAAAAGTTTAACAATGATTATGGGTAATTTATTAATACATGGGGTAAACAGGGATTTTATTCCTTTCAATTCTGATAGGATATAAGAAAATGAGGATATCTGACTATTAAAAAACACATTTTTAGAGGAAATCCATTTCCTGAGGTTCATAAAAACTTGCAATATGGGAACAAAAAAGAAGAGGAAGATACTTAGAAGATAAAGAAATAATTCTTTTTTCTTTCTTCACACCTCTGCTGGCAGGAAATATGAACTAGTTCTATCACATGTAGCTTTAATTATTATTTATACATGTGTAAGTAAAACACAAACTTATAATGGGCCTCAGGCAATCAGGAAATTAATAGTATCTGTTACTATTCACATGTCCATCTTTAAATCTACATTAAGAAGCCTATGCTGCTCTGGTAACAAAAAAGTACTATCATTCTGTCAAGTTTAGTAACTCATGGTGCTCTGTTCACAGCCACTATTATAAATAATGAAGCTGAGAATATAAATGTGGACACAAGAGTTAAAGGATATTAATTCACAAGTAGCAGCATTATACATATATACACAGACAATAGAGTTTAGTTATTTTTTTTCTGAGATTTAATACCTTCTTCTGCATACACTCCCAAGTCTGACATTTGTGATTGTGAAGGTGGTACTGGCACATAGGCTTGTGCTTTTAGCAGCTAACTTAAACCAAAAGACTCCAAACAACAGTAACGACAACAACAAAAGGGAAACTTGGCATAAGTGTAACTCTCTATAATTATTGTTTATATTTCTTCTTTAAAACAATTTGATGGCCGGCCAGGCGCGGTGGTTCACACTTGTAATCCTAGCACTTTGGGGGGGCCGAGGCGGGTGGATCACGAGGTCAGAAGATCCGAGACCATCCTGGTTAACACGGTGAAACCCCGCTTCTACTAAAAATACAAAAAATTAGCCGGGCGAGGTGGCGGGCGCCTGTAGTTCCAGCTTCTCGGGAGGCTGAGGCAGGAGAATGGGGTGAACCCGGGAGGTGGAGCTTGCAGTGAGCTGAGATCGCCCCACTGCACTCCAGCCTGGGCGACAGAGCGAGACTCTGTCTCAAAAAACAAACAAACAAACAAAACAATATGATGAATTTAACTTTATAAAACGTAATTAGGGCACCATGATTAACTCTGAAATATTAACAATTCTTTTGTCTTACATTTATGTATTGTTTTAAAAATGGTTTGACAGTCACCTCTCTCATTTTCCAAGTACTCTGTTAAGGTGAGGTGGACAGCACGGCTCCTGTTTTTAGGAAAAACACGCCCTCATCCAGGTGAAATGACCGGCATACAGCTCGGAAGTGGGAGAGCAGTAAAAACTAGGTGTTTACTGCCCTGCACGCAGTGAGATTTATAGACTGAGCTATCATCATGCATTAAACGTAGTATTTGACTTGGAAAAATTCCATTTACATATCACTTGCTTCTCCATATACTATGTTAATGATATAAAAAGAGAGCATGTTTTTATGTATATCTAAATCTCCTGAAGGTTTAGAAAAAAGTTTCGCAAATTCCCCTTCCTCCTATAATTCACATGCGGAGGAGGAACTAGGTCCCTACTATCTGCAATCTTAAATTTAATGTTTAGAAACATTTTTTCGCCTGTAATCCCAGCACTTTGGGAGGCCGAGGCAGGCGGATCACGAGGTTAAGAGATCGAGGCCATTCTGGCCAACATGGTGAAACCCCGTCTCTACTAAAAATACAAAAATTAGCCGGTGTGGTGGCATGCACCTGTAATCCCAGCTACCCAGGAGGCTGAGGCAGGAGAATCGCTTGAACCTGGGAGGTAGAGGTTGCAGTGAGCCGAGATCATGCCTCTACATTCTAGCATGGTAACAGAGCCAGACTCTGTCTCAAAAAAAAAAAAAAAAAAAAAAAAGCAAGCGTTTCTTAAAATTGTGACGGCTCAAACTGTGTCACATTGTTTCCACAGGCATACTTTCTTTCTTCAGTTTGTTACTTTATCATGAGCTTCTGTTCCTCTCCATCTTTTTCAAAATCGATTTTAAAAATGTGATTCATAATACATGTACATATTTTTATGGTACCTGTGATATTTTGACACATGTATACAATGTGTAATGATCAAGTCAGAGTAACTGCATTATCCATCATCACAAACACTTATCTTTCTTTTTTGTTTCTTTTTGGGCTAGGGAAGGAACCCAGACCTCCCATGTGACTGCTGAGGAATATCTTTTCTTTGTCTTGGGAACATTCCAGTTCTTCTCTAGCTATTTTGAAATATACAATAAATTATTTTTAACTATAGTCTCCCTACTGTACTACTGAATATTAGAATTTATCCTATCTAACTGTATTTCTATACTTGTTAACCAACCTCTGGTAACCATCATTCTACCCTCTACCTCCATGAGATTAACGTTTTTAGCTCCCACATGAGTGACAACATGTGTTATTTGTATTTCTATGGTCCATAGGCTTAGTTTTTCAGCTTCCAATTAAACACACTCTAATTATAAAACACTTAAAATGTCAAAATTGGGAAGAAATTCTTATAAAAAATAACTTGGCTGGCTAACTTTTTTGTTTTTTTTGAGACGGAGTTTTGCTCTTGTTGCCCAGGCTGGAGTGCAATGGTGTGATCTCAGCTCACTACAACTTCTACCTCCCGGGTTCAAATGATTCTCCTGCCTCAGCCTCCTGAATAGCTGGGATTACAGGCACGCGCCACCATGCCTGGCTAATTTTTTTTGGTATTTTTAGTAGAGACAAGAGTTTCACCATGTTGGTCAGGCTGGTCTCGAACTCCTGACCTCATCCACCAGCCTTGGCCTCCCAAAGTGCTGGGATTACAGGTGTGAACCACCACACCTGGACTAGGTAACATTTTTAAAAGGAAATAATATAACATTTATTTTGAGAGTTGGATAATTATATTCATACTAGCTTTTCATTTGTGAAAATTTAAAGGCATTGAAGGGAACACAGAGAATTGAAATTTAAGCTCAATATATGTAAAATGAAAGAAATTCTAGGTCTTGTAAGTTTTTAAATATTCCTGAAACTGAATATTCACCTAGTTTTAAAAAATGCAGAAGCTGCAGTACTTCTTTATATTTTTACTTTGAACAAAAGTAAGTAAAAAATCAATACTAATTTACATTGATAGTGCCTGAATAAAGATGTAAAAAATTAGAAACCTGGAGTTTTTATGGTTATGGCTTCTCTTTTAAGAGATTTTTTAGAAATAAAAAATAATTAGACAGCAGAATGAATCAGTTTTCCAACTAGTATGCTGTTACACTTTTTGAACCTAGGGTTTATGGGAAGTAAGGTAGAGTTCACATGAAAGGCAGCAAAGTTGGTAAACATCTTTAACAAAAGACAAATTTTAAGACAAGTTGCTTTTCTATTATTTGCATTGGAAAGAAGTTATTGATATGCTTCCTTAAATCTTTTAAAAATAGGTGGGAATCATAAATAAATAAATGCACATAATTAATCATATTTTATAATTAATCTCTTATTTCTTAATTTTTTTTTTTTTTTTTTTTTTTTTTTGAGATGGAGTCTTGCTCTGTCACCCAGGCTGGAGTGCAGTGGCACGATCTTGGCTCACTGCAACCTCCGCCTCCCGGGTTCAAACAATTTTCCTGCTTCAGCCTCCCAAGTAGTGGATTACAGGCATGTGCCACAACACCCAGCTAGTTTTTGTATTTTTAGTAGAGACGGAGTTTTGCCATATTGGCCAGACTGATCTCATACTCCTGACCTCAAGTGATCTGCCTGCCTCAGCCTCCCAAAGTGCTGGGATTACAGGCATGAGCCACCGTGCCTGGCCTCTTATTTCTTAATTATTAAAAAAGCAGTAGCTGGAGTTGAAGACTTCCATGTTTTGTAGTTTGGCAATATTTCCTAAATATAAAACTTCAAGCACCAGAGTTTTGATGCAACTCTGGCACAACATTTTAGTGAACATATTTACCCAGTAACTTGTTCTCGTAAGGGAAGAACAATGGGCAATTCAGCCATATGATCAAGTGACTTTTCTTATCAAAGCTTTTTGGATGTTTCCATAAAAGGTACAACTAGGGTATCATCTGTTTTATGTCCTCATCAGCTTTAATGTCACTACTCACTACCCCTGCCCTTGTACCCTCTCCATTATTCAATGATTAGCACATTTCCTTTGGCCACATTGAATGTGTTCCATCCTTAAGTACAAGGTCAGAAAAACTGGCTAACCAGTTATTTCTTTAGCACTTTACCTTTTTGACACACTTTGCCTTTTTAAAAGCAGTTGATTTAAGAATAATTTTATTTAATAAACATGAATCTAAACATACTTAGGAAGTTACCACCTAAAAAGAACTAGGGAAGCATGATTTATTAATGTCATGAGCCAGTGTCTAATATTTCTATTTAAGGACAAATCTATTTCTAATTAAGGACAAATTTATTGCTGATCATAAATTTCCCCCTCCTCCTCTACATTTCCTAGCACACTTAAAAGTTTATATACACTCGTCACTCAAGGACAAAATTCTTCTGTTGGGTTCCTCTGGTCTTTTGACATCTCCTACAGAGCTTATAGAATACAATTAACTGTAAAATAAGTTTTAAATAGGTACATACGTTTCTGTGGCAGGATCATAAACTTCACAGGAATTAAGCACTCTCCCAGAAACATTGTTTCCTAAACTTCCACCACAAACATAGATCAGGCCATTGGCTTCCACCATTCCATGGCTGCATCGCTGGGTCAGCATGCTGGGTTTTGTGTGCCAGCTTTCAGTTCTTGTATCATAGCACTCAAATAAATACAGAGCTGAGTTTCCTGTAAAAGAAAAAGGCCCCACCATACTTAACTTTAGTGTGTGCGGGGGTTTGGAGAGAACTGACTGTCGATCTTACTAGTTAAGGAAGGAAGAATTTAGGGTCATAGGGCCATTTTCATACTCAATCAACAACAACAACAACAAAGTGTAGGAATAGTTTAAGAAAACGCTAATAATCCTGTTTGTATACACCCTGGAAAACATCCTTAAAAGGATCTGTTGGAAAGATTTATTTATTGGTAATTAAACTTTAGAAAAAGAAATTTGATTTCAAATGAAAAATTAAATACGAAGCCTTATATATGTCTTCAAGCCCCGTTATGCATGACAGGAATTATCCATACTTCAAATGTTTATATAAAGTGGAAAAGCATAATAGTTCCTTACAGATGGTAGACCCACACCTTAAAATATGAAAATTACTATCTGATCATATTCTTATTTAATATTTTGGAATAGCTATAGCACCATTAACAAAATTATACTTCCTAACTATTCTCAGTGTGGTATATCCTGAAATCACACTGGTCCCTGCTTGAGTATATTCTCAAAATACTGATGTATATTTCTGATGTATTTTGATTACACAACTTAAAGGCAAAACATACATTCATCATGTTTTGAAACTTCTACACACTGCAGGAGTTCAATAAAAAAATTTTAGAAATGATACTATTAAAGATTAAGTGCTTTTTTTTTTTTTTTTTTCCTTCCCAAGGACAAAAAATGTTAGAAGTTACCAAACTATTTCTCATCTCCCACCATTCTGGGCTAATATCAAATGATTTAAAAACAACACCACCTTTATAATTCTCCATTGCAACTAAGGTCTGTGAAAAGTAAAGATCAGAAAATAACAACTAGAAGAAGCAATGGTCATGACCAAAAATAATTTATTTTTAACTTTTTAAACATTTCTGATTTGGTAGGTTCAGTGGGTGGACACTATGGGAAAATATATAGTATATAGTAGATTAAAAAAACTACTATTTAAGCTAAAAACACACTTAGCAAAGGCTGAAGAAATGAAGTTATCTGCAGTACCACAGAACAGTTACTGTCTATCATCTTTAGGATTTATTGTATTTGAAATATTCTACATTATAACAGTCCGTGAAGAATGCTTTTAAAGAGAAAAAATGGTTACAATTAGGAAATGATATTTGTTTTATTCATTTGACATATAGTTGGGGGTAAAAATGTAAGTATGCAGACCAAAAGTATAACTGTTTACTTGGTCTTCCTAGTTTTCTTTATTAGCCCATTATTTATGCTGAAGAAATTACTTGAAAATGAAAGCATACGAAAGCTATTATGTGTCTAGTCTGCACCTAGAATATTCATTTAGAAAAATTATTCATTTAGAAAAAGAGCACTACTGGACACTAACACACGATTCAATAAGAAAGGTTTTTATATCCACACCCACACCCCATTCTGCTCATAAGCATAAATACCATTACTGTCATTAAAAACTTAAAGAATAAAATGAATGAAAAAGAGCATTATTTTTTCTAATAAAGAGAAAGCAAAAATAATACAAATTTTAAAAGCCTGAATACAGTAATGAGTTCTTAAAGAGTCTATAAGTTGAACTCTGAAATCTTTAAAACAAATATTATGTAGCCCAAATAACTAATTTAGAACTATAATTCTGATAGTGTCAACTAATGCTTCATTGTGATAAAAAATGGACCATTAATCTACGAAGCTAAATTCTGTAATTTAATGGTTTGTAAAGGAATGAGATAAACCTTCAGGGAGATGAGCTCTAAAATGTGACAAACACGTATTTAAATTACCAAGAAAGTATCTGGAGAAATAATACCAGCTGTTTATTTAAATATGAAAGCCAAGATACTTGGCTTTAAAGCATTTGCCCCAAACCAAAATACTTAAGGAGTCCTTACCTACTTCTGAACCTCCAGATGTATAAATTTTGCCTTCTGCAGCACATGCAGCAAGGCTGTCTCGAGGTGTCGGAGGACCCAGTTTGGAATACCAGCTATCCTTCACTACATTATAGCAGTCCATTCGCTTTATCGGGAAAAGCTGAGAGCCTCCCAAAATGTATACTACATTGTCCCAAAACACGCATGCTGCATCTCTTCGTTTTTCAAAGGGGCAGCGGATGTCTGTCCAGCTATAATCCTGTAGCAGAAAAGGACAGGAAGCTTTCGGTAAGGAAAAAAATATAACTGAAAAGGACAGTGCAAAGATATAGCCAAAAATATATAAGAATATGTTAATTTATTAGACTACACATACAAATGTTTGGCTTGAGACTATTACCAATTTAATCTTGTGTGGTTTCTGCAGAATGTTGATTAGATGGGGCAGAGGGCAGAAGGCAGGCACTTGACTGCTTTGGGTCCTTTCTGGCTCTAAAATAAACTTAAATATATTTGGATATACCATCACCACCCTGTTTTCTATTCCTTTTGTTACTGAAGATAATACAAGAAGATTCTAAAGTAAGCTTTTATTATTTTTAAAAAGCTTCTTTTTCAAATGTAAATGTCTCCATCCCTTCCCTGCCAGATATATAGTGTGACATAAGTAATCAATGGATAATATAAAGCTCAAATTGCCATTATCCTACCGATAGTCTAAAGCCAGAAGGTATTTCGTGGATTTCTTTATTACTTTTCTATATTCAGTTGAGCCAATGTAGTCAGCTGGACTTTAAAACTGTTGATGTTTATAAGGAAATACTTGAGTAATCTCTTCTGAGTATTCTGGATACTCACTTTTCACCTCAACGATTAGAAATATACACCTATCAGTACTTGACAGTAAGGGCTGTTCACAGCACCTGTTTCTTCACTATGTTTGATAGCATCCAAGAATGCTTGTGCCACCCTTCCATGGATGTGCATGGAGGGATGCCCCTAAAGTTATAGTATCTTGGACCCTCCCCTTTTTTGAGATAGGAAGCTACAGTGTTCCTGCTATTTTCTGAAAATAATCAGGGTCAGATAGAAATTCATACCATTCCCAATCTCACCAAGGAAAGCACTATGTGTGATTATTGAGTTTCCTTTGAGAAAATCTGACTGATAACCTATGATCGTATCCAGTGTTTCAGGCAGTCACTGGATTAAAGTATCACAGAACATCAGGAATGGTCTCTTAGGAAAGGAAGAGCCCTTAAAGTAGAATACTTTGACTCCTGACAAAGATGAACATTCTGCTTTTTAGGTGACCAGGAAAATAGAGCCTTAATAGCTTAAGATTTTATTCTCAAATTAGGATCAATATCCCCCTAGGTTACTCAGTGGTGGGCACACAAAACAATGGGATAAACGTAACATGTTCCTGAAACTTCAATTCCACTCAACGAACACTTGAAAAACTGGGGGAAAATATTTTCACTTGTTCTCTTAAAGAAACTGTATACCACAGAATGAAATAAAGAGATAAAATAATGATCATATTGTACAGGCAACAATCCCTCAAAGATAAACTAAATCATTCTCTTAAATGTTCTTCAAATCTACTCATAATTCCTATCTAATCAGTTTTATGTAGCAGAGAAATACGATTTCACTAACTGCATTAACTCAGTGAATCTCAAATCTTGTCCCTCTTACCCCTCATTTATTTGACATTTATTACTTGAGAGCTATATGGGAAACTTTTTTTTTTTTTTTGATTATAGTACCTAGATACTGTATGTAGTTGTGGGAGGGGGAAAGAGTAGATGGGAAGTCAGCCTTGTCAGCTCAGTGGGTATGACTGTTCGGCATTACCCTAGTGATGAAACTAGTTCCAACCTGGGCTTGCAGGTAAAGGCAGTGCTATTTATTGCTCCCTGCACTCATAGGCTAAAAGGAAATCTAGAGGAATATGCAGTTTTCATGTTATCAAGAAGATGGACAAATAACACTAGAGTCACAGATGGGAAGGTGTATGTGTGTGGGCAGAGTCAGGGAATGGTTACCCTAAAAATATGATTTAATTCAGTTAAGTTTTACTGAGTATCTATTCCATGCAAGTTCTTACACTTAGGTGCTGAGATGTGAAAATGGGAAAATTGGAAAGCCTGGAAAAGACATGGGTAGAAGGATTTTTAAAATTTTGATATCTCTCTCATTATACACATGTACACATGCAGACACATCCATGTATAAAGTCCTGTCTTCCTTGGTCCTAGTCAGCCTTTCTTGCCTCTGCTGTGATATGCCATGCTATACTTTTTTCTAAGCTCAAGACTGCTTTCCTTTTTGTAGGTTTTCCTGATTTCTTTCTTCTGAATCCTTACCACTTGAAGTTCAGGCCTGATGACTGAGCACTCTATTGTATCTTGCCCTGTGTGACTTTCTAGCTATTAATACAATAGCTCTCATTGCTCCTCCAAGAGTAAAAGCTTCGGGTGGGATGTGGTGGCTCATGCCTGTAATCCCAGCATTTTGCGAGGCAAAGACGGGCAGATCACCTGAGGTCAGGAGTTTAAGACCAGCCTGGCCAACATGGTGAAACCCCGTGTCTACTAAAAATACAAAAAATTAGCCAGGCATGGTGGCAGGCACCTGTAATCCCTGCTACTCGGGAGGCTGAGGCAGGAGAGTTGCTTGAACCTGGGAGGTGGAAGTTGCGGTGAGCCGAGATCATGCCATCACACTCCAGCCTGTGCAACGAGAGCGAAACTCCGTCTCCCCCAAAAGAAAGAAAAAAAAAAAAAAGAGTAAAAGCTTGGGGGTGATACGTTGTAAATATTTTCTCTAAATGCCTCAAGGCAAAAGATCAGTGTGATATTTTCCTTCAGGCCGGGCGCGGTGGCTCAAGCCTGTAATCCCAGCACTTTGGGCGGATCACAAGGTCAGGAGATCCAGACCATCCTGGCTAACCCTGTGAAACCCCGTCTCTACTAAAAAATACAAAAAACTAGCCGGGCGAGGTGGCGGGCGCCTGTAGTCCCAGCTACTCGGGAGGCTGAGGCAGGAGAATGGCGTGAACGCGGGAGGCGGAGCTTGCAGTGAGCTGAAATCCGGCCACTGCACTCCAGCCTGGGCGACAGAGCGAGACTCCGTCTCAATAAAAAAAAAAAGAAAAGAAAGAAAAGAAAAAAAAGGTATTTTCCTTCAAAGGATTGATTTTACATAATGTATTCTGAAAACACATAGATCCTCAAATAATAGAAATGCTGTAGTATAAAGGGAACCACAATCCAAAATGAAATACTTTTCATTTTTAACACCTGAGAACTTTATTTCAGATCATTTTGAGAGAAAATCGAGCCAAATTAGGGAAGGCAGGGTCTTACGGAAAAAAGAAAGCAAAATTATCGAAACTTTAAGACTCCTTAGAGAAACCACAGGGAATCAATCCAACCTGAGTTTAAGATGACCAAACTGCAAGTACTTTCTCTTAAGCCATTATTTGATATATCTTAGTTTCTAACGGCTTTAAAAAGGCCATACGCCTGTGGTGACAATCTACATGAAAAGCAGGTTTATGCCAGATACCAGAACATTCCTAGTAGTTTCATGAGAAACACATAGAAACAGTTTTGTCTTCATTCATTTTGCAAAGACACAAAGAATGCAGTTCAAGGGAACTGGGAAACTTGGGTATAAAGCCAGGCTCTGTATGGAGGAGCTACGGATCTCAACTGGGTCACTTAACTTCCAAGGGACTTTACTTTATCTGTACAACAAAATGATTGAGCTAGATGACCAAAGGTCTCTTCCCTTTCAGCCCGAACATCCAATGATCTTAGAATCCAAATGACTTAGGATGTATCCCTAACCAAATAGCTACTATTAATTTATTAGTTATTAAGTACTTACCTTTCCAGGAACTATGCTGAAATATTTTAAAACATCATCTAATTTAATTTCCTTAATAACTCTATAAGTTAATATACTCATTTACAGATAAGAAAACTAAGAGATATTAAGTAACTTATCAAAGGTCACATAGTTAGAAAATGGTGAACCCAAGATCTTAATCTAAATCCATCCGACTCCAAAGCCGTGTCTTAGCCTCTAGGCTGCTTCTCTAAAAGACTTTGACGGCCTATTAGAAAGAACAAAAGGTCTCGGAGTACAGTGATCTGGGTTGCTCTTGTCACTATTGTGTTTCTAGCAAAGTGATTCTGGGCACTTGAATTGTCGTGGTTGGATCTCAACAGCCTCATCTATAAAATCAGGAGGTTAGCAGGATGGCTGCTGATGTCCTGCACAATCTCCATATCTTTTCACTTATAAACACAATGCTCAACCACCAAAAGCACAGCTGGTGTGAAAATAGAGTTTCTCTCCATGTGTTTGTATAGTATTTTGCCCAGGGCTTAGCATACTGAGGGAATGTTGTCATTGAGTGATAGTTCACATTTGTAGAAAACTATATATCATTCAATTGGGCCACCCTCATTTTTGACTCTGCAAATGTCATAGACATTTGCTGCACTCTGCTACTGGTTTGTACCAGTTCTTCATTGCAGCACTATCTTTATATTACACTGGCTCCAGCTGGCATCTTCTCACTATGGCTCCTGGTTCTGTGGTGGCTGTACCACTGAAGACCAGAGGGACCTGTAACCAACCAACTGGCAGTTCCTGGGGTTGAGGGCCAGGTTTTCATCTCCTATTTTTGTAAATCCAAATACTTTCCACTTTCATCCTTTGCTAGAGCAATTTTTCTCCTAAGAATTTATCCTAAAGAAAAAACTGGACAGTGTGTAAAGCTGGCAGATATAAAGGTGTTTCACTGCAGGAGTATTTTAACAGGAAAAAACTGTAAATCGACCAAATGTGTTTGATGAAGACAGGTATTAAATTATGGTACATCCTTGTGACGGAATACTCTACAGCCCTTCAAAAGGATGATATTCTCACTGATGTGAAAATATCTCCATAATAAAATGATGAGAGTAAAATACATTTTGTAAAATAGCATGTAGTGATCCCATATTTGTAAAATGTAAGGACTGAAATGATGTTCACTAACTACTGATGACTGTCTTTGGACGTTGGGGGCACTTTGGCTTTCTCCTTTATATCTTGCTATATTTGAATTTTCTACAAAGAATATGTATTTTTTTAAAAAAAAAAATAACAAAAATACAATGAATGATACCAAAAATACGGTACCAGGAAAACAACTACTTTTCTCAGCAGAAGCCTATACTAGTGCTAAATGTTTTA